GCTGGGAGTGGTGGTGCACGCCTGTAGTCCCAGCTATTCTGGGAGGCTGAGGCAGGAGGATTGCTTGAGCCCAGGAGTTTGAGGTTGCTGTGAGCTATGGTGATGCCACTGCACTCTAGCCAGTGTGACGGAGTGAGCCTCTGTCTCAAAAAAAAAAAAAAGAACCAGAAGGAAAGAATGTTTAATCACTTAAAAAATGTAAATAGCTTTTTAGGGGATTGCAGAGCACTATGCAATTTACACAAAGTCACACAGCTCCAATGGTGCAGCTGGTCTCTGACCCAGATCTGTCTGCCACCAGAAGCAGTGTTTTTGACCCCTAGCAATAATGCTTCCAAAAGCAAGGAAAGGGGACCATCTCCCCCACCTACCAACTTTAATTTAGGAAGGATGCATGCTGCAAGAGACGGCTCTGCTGCTAGGTCAGATGGCAGGCTCAAGGGAAGAGACCATGAAAGGTGGAGACCCTCATCTGGGCACTGACTGGGACGGTGATCTTGACAGTTTAGTCTGCCCTGCATAAATGATAATGGCTCCCACGCCATGCGGAGCACAGCAAACTTGATTCTAAGGTGCAAAGAGTCACCCAAATAGGGAAACCTTTCCAGTTCTCCAGAAGGGCTTTCAGAAGATCACAGTGGTGCCTGAGAAAATTGTGACTAATAATCACCTTACCGTGAAGCAGTTGGTCCAAAGCATATTACAATGCTTTTCTCATGAAATACTCAACATCACTGGAGGTAGGTAGTATCGGGGTCCTTACTTTACAAATAGGACACAGGCTTGAAAAGGTTAAATGTCTTGCCTGAGATTCCACATCTAGAAAGTGAGAGAGGCAGGATTTGAATCTAGGCCACATGAGCCTCACCCATCTGATGCTTGTCTCCATCTGTGTTGCCTCTTCCGTCCTAGGCTTACTCAAAGCGCCTGAGGCCCTCTAGTTTTTTTTCTCTTTTACCCCTGCGTAGGATCTGATATCAGTCATGTGCAACTAAGCACGCTGCTCGGTCAGAGACTACCTCTGCAGAGATGATATGATTTGTACTTAATGAAGTTTGCCAGTGGTGTGCTAACTTGGCTTGTACTGGCCCATGAGAGCGAATTGTTACATTTTCAGGAATTTGTAAGTCAGTAGCCATCACATTGGTAGTTTGAAATTGGCCGTGCTGGGAGTATTTACACCAGAGAAATCGGCAAACACTATGAATCAGGGTTCCCCAACGGCACGCCCGCCCCGACCCCACTGTCACTATCACAGTGGTTGTTAAACGTTTACCAGCACACCCTGTGGTCCTTATCTCTCACCATCCTCTGTCATAGAATTTCAGGCAGCAGGGACCACTTTGCAAAAACAATTGGCAGGCACAGGGGAGCATCTGAAATCGTGCCTGCCAGCCACCACCTGCCAAATCTCTGCCTCTTTCTGGCCCAGTGCACCAACAGGGTGAAGGAACTTCTTGGCCCCTCTGAAAGCACTTGTACATCTCAACATAGAAAACAGACATCTGCCATGAGAACTAAATCCTTGTTAAAGTAAAAGGCTCATTCAATCAGTATTATAATGATAATAATGACAGTATTATAACAGCTATTTAATATTATAATGCAAGTATTATAATGGCTATTTAAAGTTAGAATAAGCATACTTAATTTACAGAATTACAAAATTTATTCTTGAGTATATGGAAGGGTTGTTGTTCACATGGAGTTATAATTTCACAGAATATTAGAACTGCAAGAAACATAATTTTACAAATGAGAAAAGAGAAAAAGAAGCTATGATACCCCAAGAGGGACAATGGCTGGCCCAGCATCACACAGCTCATAATGCATGTTTATCTCCCCATAAACTCGTAGTTAGCCACAGAATAAAAGAAATCCAGGACCCTGATCTTAGCTTGACTCACTTGAAAATGAATGTGTTATGCCACCTTCAGAGATGTGAAAATGATGCAAATAACAGCTAATTTTTACTAGGTGTTTACTAGGTGACAGGATCTATACTAGGTACTTTATATGTTAAATTGAACTACATGAAATTGCCAATATCTGACTGTTTTTGATCTACCAAATGATAATTGCACATAGTTCGGCCTAACTATATTATTTCTCTGAGTCTTTGCCATCTTCCCATGAAATGGATGCTATTATCACACCCATTTTACAGATAGAAGAACTGAGGCTTTAATTTAAAAATGAAAAAGTTCTCCCCAAAAGTGTAAGGCTATTTATTTATGAGTAATATACCGCATACTCTTGTGTGCAAATCAGTGGCCCTAAACAATGCAATATACATAGGGCATGAACAATAACTCATATATCTTACCTTTCTCAGAGACCTTGGGTAAATTTCTATTCAACAAATTTCTACAATATTTAAAGAAATAATTTTAAAAATTTTATCTATAAATGTAAGCCATAGGCATTAGAAAACAAAAAATTTGGTGTTTGGGCATATATCTTCTATATCCTATAGGGAAATATTAGAAACTATAGCCCAGGGCTCCCCAAAATGAATTAAGTATCCTGGAAATTTTTCATCATGCTTGAATAAAGAAGTGGAGTGATTTTACAACATTATCTACACACACATTATAACCCACAAAAGTCTGCATCGAGACCATCTGGTTTTGTGATTATTTGCAAGTAGTAGTGGACTGAATTCACAATCAAACAGTCGACAAATAGTAATGCTGCTCAGGAATTGTCAGTACTAACTAAATGAGATAATACGATATTCAGTTAAGAAAGTAAATCTGTGAAAACTATAAAATAGGCTTTGAAAAAAATACTTAAAGGCACAGTACTGTTCTTTCAGTATGAAACAAGGACTTTAAATATCTCATTCACAAAATATTGACTGACGCCATGTGATTTACTAGCTCTGCGTGATAGATTCCCCAAGTTCGAAACCTGACTCCTGGCCACCTACCAAAGGGGTCTTGTATACAATTCCATATGCTTTCTGATCTATTGCTACATTGCTATCGGTAAGAATCTTCTGAAGACAAGCCAACTTTTCATGTCTAAAGAGGCAGCATTGTTTCACCTGCAACCTAAAAAGCCAAGCCTGACCTCCCTGGAACGCCATGGCATTGACTGCTTCAGAGTCTGCTCTCCAAACTCGGGCCTACAGCCACCAAGTCAGGCCCCAACAAGAAACTGGATACCTTTGTCTCCAAGTGATGATCAAATACCTAATATTATTTCCCCTTCAGTAAAATATAAGTGATAATTCTGCCCTACCTGTCTAATGATGTAAAAATAATATAATGATACAGTAAGAAATCAAACATGCTTTTAAAAATTGCTGAGAAGCGCTAAACAAGTGCCCTTGCATAAAACAAGGAATTTTTGAAGAAAGAAGGGATCTTGTAAGTCATTATTTCCAGTTTTTAAACATTTTATAAAGAAAGAATCTGAAGCAGGAGGTAGATATTTGCCCAGGCTGAGTTTGGTCTCCTGACCCTTTGTCCAATGTTTCTTTTACCAAACTACATACTACATTATTGGGATTATTCATGTTGCTTCTGATGTTACAGAATATGAGACTATCTTCAGTTTTTTTGTTTTTGTTTTTTTTTTTTTAGAGATAGGGTCTCGCTAACTACCCAGGCTGGAGTGCAGTGGCCTGATCATAGATCACTGTAACCTTGAACTCCTGGGCTCAAGTGATCTTCCCATCTCAGCCTCCTGAGTAGCTAGGACTACAGGTGCACGCCGCCATGCCCAGATAATTTTTAAAAATTTTTTTGTAGAGGCATGGACTTGCTATGTTGCTCAGGCTGGTCTCAAACTCCTAGCCTCAAGTGATTCTCTCACCTCAGCCTCCCAAAGTGCTGGGATTACAGACATGAACCACTTCTCCCAGCTGTTAGAAAAATATTGACCTAACTAAGCAGCTGTAATTTTCCGGGTAAGAACCGCTGGTTTGCACCACAGAACACTTTGTGCTTAATAACCCTAGTCTCCTGGGAAGTTTTCCAAGACACAAAGAGGTTTGCCATTGTGCCTTGCAACTTTTAGACAATAAATTTCTGGGGAATATTATTCCAAGATGTCAGATGAGTGATGACCATTGAGATAGAGTTGAATTCATAGGAATGTTAATATTGGACCCATCGCTTAATTATTCTAAGTACCAGTTTCTTCCACCGAAAAATAAGGAAGTTGGGCTAGGTCGTTCCTTAGGTCCCATCAAATGCTCATATTTTATTGACCTATGTCCATGAGGTAGTATATTTCATTTGAAGTTCAAATTCTATCCAAATCATAATATTTGCCACATAAAATATTTTTATAATTTAAAAATTAAACTTAATCTTGCAGGGAGAAAAAAATCTGATGAATTTTTTTTTTGTAGAGACAGGGTCTCGCTGTATTGCCCAGCCTAGTCTTGAACTCCTGGCCTCAAGCTATCCTCCCACTTCGGCCTCCCAAAGTGCTGGGATAGAGGCATGAGCCACTGTGCCTGGCCGTGGTGAATGTTACACTTACAGTTTTTAGAACTGAAATCGCCTAGTACAACCATCTCACCTCAACACCTCTCTTACATTTTCCTCTGATTACTCTTATTGTACTTTTTAGGCTGTTGGAACCAGCATGTTTGCGTTCCCTGTGTTCTATTTTATTCCATGTATATCTTTTTGAGTCAGCCAGTCCAAATATAGAAATATTATATGAAGAAAGACAAAAGAAATTGCTCACATACCCCAGGACGATCCTCGAAGTATGCCAGGCTGGCTTTGGTTAGAACAAAGAAGCGGACTTTGAAGTTCGAGGGAGACGTTCTTCTCTTTTGTTGGGATTTCTTGATTAGCTGTTCTTCAAGGAGGATAAAGTTGTTCATGATCCAATTCTTGAAAAGCGATGCGCCTTGGGCATCACTCCTTAGCACAGCCGGAGGAAACAGCTTTGGGGCAAGGAATGGGATGGGAGGCAGTTGATCTTCAGAGAGCTGCTCAAAGGCAACTTGCCTCCAACGTTATCTCTCTATCAGCGTTCAGGCGACCCTGCGGAGCTTCTCCTCTGATGTCAAAGGCCATAACCACATCCTTTCAAAATTCACAAAACTAAGAGGCATATGTAAAAAATATATACACCCTCTGCTGTATGGTTTGAAAACGATACTTTAAGAAACTTAGACTCAAAATGATGTTAAAAGTTAGAGTTGAATCTTTATAGTTTCTGGCTTAGCCCATCCAACCGTTAAGACACGTAACACAAAATACGGACTATGTTTAGTTTTGCTCACTGTTATATATTCAGCAACCATCACAGTGACTGGCACATAAAAAGAATGTTTAAGAAAAACTTGTCGAAAGGATAATCATCAAGTTGGGTGGGACGATTAAAAGAAATAATGAGCATAAAACACTCATATATTGAAATTGAAGAAATATGTTGAAGTTTATTATTTTTTAAAATTTGGCTGGATGCGATGGCTCATGCCTGTAATCTCAGCACTTTGGGAGGATTGTTTGAGTCCAGGAGTTTAAGATCAGCCTGGGCAACATAGTGAGACCCCATCTCTACAAAAAAATGGAAAAATTAGCCAGGCTCACTGGTGCATGCCTGTAGTCCCAGCTACTTAGAGGCTGA